TTTTCAATGATTCTGAATCAATTAATATTGCAATCTTTCCTACAAAATTAGTGAATTTCTCACAACTCAATGCAACAGATTATTGGAGTAGCGAATTTGTCGGAGCACTACGTAACTTTCCAGATCCTTTTACGTAAGGGGACAATACGTGTGTTTGAACCCCTACGGCATACGTATCTAGAAAAGGAGGACGAGCACATTCTCGAATCCTACGTCAAAGCACTCCAAAAAATCAAAAATCTAATTCCACTGATTGCGACGTATGCGGAAGTAGAGGAGGTGAGCGAAAAGTTCGAATTGAAATTCATGGACACCAAAGATACTATCTTGCAAGATGATAAAATTTCTTGTGGTGTATGCGTTGTGGAGATGGTACGAACATTGCTATCGGGGAAGAAGCCCTTAGACAAGTCTAACAAGCAGTGGGCTGGGAAAAGGAAGCGCGAAATTGCTCGAGAAATTTTTCAGTTTTGTACAGAACCAGAAATAATTACCGACTCAGTTCTTTTATGATTCATGTAATACATTTTTTTGTTTTTTTTTTTTTTTTTGCATTTTATTATATTTTTGTTGTTTGTTGTATGTATGTGGCATTTCTCATACCTGAAAGAAAAAAATTAAACTAAATTAAACGATGAAAGAAATAAAAAATAAACTAACTTTTGAGTAGAAATGCGAAGGGGGTATGCGAGCAATATGCGGCAATTCGTATACCCCCTCGCATAACTGAAATAACTGAAAGAAATAAAAAAGAAATAAAAAATAAACTTTCGAGTAGAAGTGCGAAGGGGATATGCGAGTAATATTCGGCAATTCGCATGCATAACTTAAATTAATATATAGTGATTACGAACAAACAATTAATATTCGGCAAGTCGGGAATAATATGCGACGTTTGTATGTTGCAATTTTGTATGTCATAGAATAGAGAATTTCAAAAAAATTTCGAGTAGAAGTGCGAAGGGGGTATGCGAGCAATATGCTGAAATTCGCATACCCCCTCGCATAACTGAAATAACTAAAAGAAATAAAAAACTTTCGAGTAGAAGTGCGAAGGGGGTATGCGAGCAATATGCGGCAATTCGCATACCCCCTCGCATAATTGAAATAACTGAAAGAAATAAAAAACTTTAGAGTATAAGTGAGAAGGGGGTATGCGAGCAATATGCGGCAATTCGCATACCCCATCGCATAACTGAAAGATGAAAGAAAGAAAAAAAATATTCTATGAAAAAAACTTATAATTCACCAACTCTGCGAATAATATGCGACGTTCGTATGTCGCAGAAGTCCATTTAATTGTATTGAATGGTTTTATTATTTGCACCATGTCGTCCCTCAGTAAGTCGATTTGCTTTCCCATTTAATTGTATTGCTAGTATTTTCGTGTGTAGCTTATGTACAATTTTTGTTTTATCTTCCTTTCCGCTTTTCAATTTTTGTGCTCCATCTAGACCTTTCCTTCCTTAAGCCTTTTTCTTCAAACCGTAAGTCTTCCATTTTTTTTTTCTTCTTTTTTATTTTAGATTCGCGCGGTACCTCGGCTTCTGAAGCTGCTTCTATTGGCCGCGACATGTCTCCGGGAAGTTCTCTGCCGAGTTCGTCTTCTATCTCCTCTGCTCGACCTTCTTCTTCTTCGATCTTGTTCCCTATCCCCCTTGCCAGCAAACCCCCTAGCTCTTCGACCTATCTTCCTTTGTCTTCGACCTCTGGTCCGATCCTTTCTCGGCATCGTCTTCACTAAATTTGTGGTTCATTGGAAGATGAGGAGAAAGAGGAGGGTGATTATGTTTATAATTTAAACATATAGTGATTACGAACAAACAATGAATGAAATTAATAAATGAAAAATATATTGTTTTATTTAATTCTAGTCTAATATTTTTCTAATATTTAATATATTTAATATTAAATTAATAAATAATAAAATAAATTAATATTAATACAGTAAATAGTGAATAATAAATAATAAAACATATAATATAGAATTCAATAAAACATATATATTAATTTCAATATATTGTCTAGTTTCTTTATTTTGTTTGGGTCCATTTTCTGTTTTTTAGTCTGTTTGGTTTTTTATTTAGGAGATTGTAACTTGTTGCTAGGCTTTTTAGCAGTGGTGAGGGTTACCTTCTTTTATTCCTCTAGTTGGTGTTTGAGATTTATTGTATTCTAGTCGAGGCTTTAGACCGTCTGTGACATGTCTCTCATGTTTTTCTGTAGTTTGTTTTCCGGTTGTATTCGAACATTGTTCGCTTTTGAGTTTTATAATAGTTGCACCTGTCGTTTTGGAAAAAAAAAATATATATTTAATATATAAATAAAATTTAATTCAAATTAAATAAGGTAAACTAGTATAAAAATAACATAAATTATAATAAAAGTTAAATAAAATCAAATAATCAAATAATATAATGTTATTTATTTATTTAATTGACTAATTTTACTTTCGTAATTAATACATATTTAATAAATAAATTATATATAGGTTTATAATTAAAAGTGGTATAAATTGAATTATTATTATTTTTTTGGATAAAAAGATGTTGATAGATATATAATTGAAGTCAAGTATATAACAAATTATGTTGTAGATCAAGTGGCAAATGTAGACCTTTTGATTCCAGAGGTCTAGGGTTTGAACCCTTGTTGCCATTAATTCTGTCAACTCAGCAAAAAAAATGAGTTAAATAAATTTACAGCCGGTTACACTAGGGATGCAAATGGGTCTAGTCGGGTGCGGGTTTTGGCAAACCCGAACCCGACCCGCATGCAATTTACCCAACCCGTACTCGACCTATTACCCAGTTAGTGAACTTCGGGTTCGGGTTGGGTTTTACCCAACGGGTTATCGGGTCTTCATCGGGTAAACGGGTAACCCGATTGCTTAGAATTGGGTTTTACCCGGTCCCATTTCAACCCGACCCGTTTCATGTATAAAAAATAAATAAAATAATTTCAAAATTAAATATAATGTAACTAACAATTTATTAACTAACTTGACAATAAAATGACTATAAGAAAATTCTATATTGTATTTGGAATAAATATTGAGATATAATTATTTACTTTTTATAGTCTAGTAAATAATATAACATTTAAAAATTAAATACTTAAATTTTATATTGTACAACTAAAAGAAAATTCGATAAAAAAACCAGAAAAATAAAATAATATTTAAACCACTAACCAAAATTATAATAAATAATTTAATTTATATTTATCATATGACATATATACATATATATGTGTGTTTGTGTATGTGATTCAATGGTGCGGGTAAACGGGTAGGGTAATCGAGTCGGGTAATGGGTTTTTATACCATACACGAACCTGACCGGACCCGATTTTTGGATAGCATGATTCTACCTGAAGCCGACCCAAAACCCGATCATACCGGGTTTACTCGACCCAAAAATGCGGGTAACCCGAGGGTAACCCGACTCTGCGGGTTTTATTGACATCCCTAGGTTACATTGACCTTCTATAGCTGCTCAGAGGTTAAAAAAAACTACTTTTATTTCACCTAAATGATCATTTCCAAAAACGGACTTTTACTGAGACAAAAAGTGAACACGAATTCAGTTAAAAGATTAAAAAACTTTTTTTGCCGTAAAATTTCAATCCAAGAAAAAGCTATATAACACCATATGATCTCGTGATTGATGCACATATAAACTTCTTCACAAGTCTTAACCTAAAAATTGTGTGCCATGAATAAATTGCATAATTTTATGCTATGATATACCATCTTAAAAAAAACACTCTAAATAAAAATATGACATTAATTCATAATATATATAAGCATTCATTTTATTCAAAAGTATAATGAGTTAGATCTGACCACACCCAAATGGTTAGACCAAATGCAAGTGACTTGAAGGAGTATTTATTTGTGATCTTAGAAAGACTCAATTGCAGGTTGCTTTAGACAACCTTAACTGTGTAAACCAAGGAAGTGTCATTTCCTTATTNGAAAGGGAATCGATTAAATTCTGTTAAATTAAACCAAGCAACTTACTAAAATCCACACACTAAAATCTCCATTTGCAGAAAAACAAAATTAAATTATTTGCAGAAAAACAAGAAGATCATTGCTCATCTCATCTGCATAAATTTGTAAAAATAAAAATTAAACTATTTATTTAATTATTTTTTTTGTAATTGATTTGATGTTTTGTCTATTTCATTCATACAAAATAAGTAAAAGTCGAAATTAAACTATTTATTTTTTTTAATTGATTTGATGTTTTTTCTATTTCATTCATACCAAATAAAGTATTACATTACTTCTGAATGTGCGAACTTGTAATCTCGGCACTCTCAAATTTTCTTCTTGCTTTTGCATTTTCAAATTTTTTCTGTTTTCCTAATTGTGTCCAGTTTGGAGTATATATGGAATAGTGTATGCCGAGTAATTATTGCAGAATATTTTTCTCAAACTAGGGCAGTTACAAAATTTTCCAAACTTTTGACCATTTATCTGTCGTAGTCAAGTTAGCAAGACTAGAGGAGAAATGTCCTCAAGTGCTAAAGGCCCACGTCTATTGCTAGACACGGCCCATCTCGTCCCCACGTGAACGCACCCTACCCCTTTGAGCATTTCCTTGCTTGCGTGCAAACCAAAAGGGCATTGGAGCCAAGTGATAAAATTCTCTAATGCCAATAATAAATAATACAAGTAATCTGCAACTTCATATAATCTTCAGTCATGGAACTCAGTTAATAACACATACATTATTCAGTACTCAATTGATTCTTAATTGCGACCCTTAAACTTTCATGCGAGCAAAGAAACAGCAAAATCAAAAAGAGAAACATCACCAGCAAGCCACACTTAGGCTTTCATGTTAGCAAAACCTGAATGAACACTACAAATTAGGAAAATACATTTCCACTCGTGTCAGCACAGAGATGGACAGAGGGAAAATCTACCAACTAAGAAACTCCAATTAGCGCTTGATTGGAGTGTGCATTCTTTCAACTATTCTATTTACTGCATCACGAGACATTACTAGTGTGTCGTGCAGCAGAATGCTGTAAACATTTAGACCCTGCAAGCAAATTAATCCAGGAAATAATAGATCACTAGTTCTTGGTCAAATAACAAAATTACCAACACTATGAAATAAAACCCAAATTCCAAAACAGCGATTGTTATTGTGATTATCCCCATCTTCGTAGAATCACCCAAATGAAGCCTTAACCGAAGATAGATGGAAAGATAGTTGCAAACAAGGATTAGTTATTAAAGGAAGAAAAATTATTACATCCCCAATGTTGCATATCCTTTCTACGTTAACAAGCTCCACCACCTCAGTACGCACACTAAAGTTCAAAAAAATTATGTTATAGAGGACAAACAACTTTGCATGGTGAAAAATAATGGCAAGGGATTTGGGGGCTTACAATTGAAGGGAGCACGTTGAAATAATGCAAATTCTGGGTACCCAATTTCAACTTTTCATTAATTGGTCCACCATCTACGACCAGGAGTTTCTTTACGTTCTCCATATGTTGAACATAGTTAACTACGTTCTTTGTCTTGTGCGAAGGACCCTCCAAATCCTCAAAGACTATAAGCTGCAATTTGTTCGAATAATATGTTCAATTAGTCTGGCAATATGGTAAGGGATAGAGAATCACACTGCCCATACATGTGGAATAAAAATAAATAAATAAATAAATAAATAAAAATAAGAAAAATAAAAAATTGGAAAATAACATGCCCTCCCTTCTGCAGCACGAGCAGAAAGGGCAATCTTGAGCCCGAGCCGCCGGACCTTTTTGTTTAGCTTGATAGCATGACTATGTGGCTTTGGGTCGTGCATTAGTAGCACCACCCCTAATATCTATATATAATAATATTATTATATATTATATATAATATATTATGTTTATGTTAATGAAATTAAAAACCCTATCTAATTTACTTTTACTCCCAACTAGTATTCGATCATTTGCATGCACAGATATTTAAATTATTATGAGTTATATGTATGTATATAATATTAAAATTATAAGTTAGATAATAATATAATATTTTTTTAAAAAAAATTCATTAGTAATAATGTTTATAAAAGTATTGAATTTCATCATTTTATTGACTGCATAGAATGAATTGGATAATGCAGTTTTTGTCATTCTGGGATCCTAACCTATTAATTATCTTAAAAAGTATTATTGTTATTATTATTATTATTTTTATTATATATAAATTTTTAAAAGGTTTGGTGTAAAAGTGTTCAAGTGATGTTTTAGACATTGCACGGAATTTTCATAAACATAATACATTAATTAAAAAAAGAACGAAAGGAATATATAGTTAAAAAATTTATGGGAGGAAAATATGAAACAATTAAAAAACTTTCCATAAACAAATAAAATCAATTATCGTGATTAGGTTCACATTAATTGAGTCATAAGCTTACTAGATTTTAATAAAAAGAAAAACCAAACCATAGTAAGTAACGGATGATTTTTCAAAGAAAAAACAAAAGACTAAATTGTAACTTTGGGCGGAAAACGAATTGGATTTTTATTAAATGCTTTGCCCCTAATTATATATATATATATATATATATATATATATATATATATATATATATATATGTAGATGGATTCAAAAATTTCCCCGAATCTATTTTCACTTCACAATCTCTCGTCTCCTCTTCATCTCGTATCTCAGACAATTTACTTCATAATGACCTTTGGCTTTGGAGCCCTTGGTTGATTGAAGGAGAAAAGGGGTAAGAGAAAGCACGGCTAGCCTCCTAACTTATGCGCGTACACAGTCGAATGTATGCTTGGATATTTTTATAAGAATCGAAGTGATATTGTAATTGCTATGTTTTAGAACGATGCCTTTTGTGCTGAAATCCGTAATTTATCATCATTTTATGTAATCACCGCATGCTTGAAATAGTTGAATTGCGTCTTTTCGCTAATATTGATATGAAAAATAAACATCCCTTTGTTATTTTGAAGTCATGTTCGAGTACTCTCTCTGTCTGGATCTTAGCTTTTCTTGTTTCTTTTATTTTTAGATTCTTGAATCATTCACACTTTCGTTATTTCAGATGACAGAGAGAATATGGAGTGAAAGCTTAGATGAGAAATCCAAAATTTTGAGGACAGAGTGGGTTTTACAATTCAATGCTATCTACAATCTGGCTGGCTGGTGGAGGGTAAAGTTTCTGGCCCTAGTAATCAAGTTTTGGCTAGAACTGGTTTTTGCATCTTTAAGGACGGACTAATCATGATGTATGCCCATGTCATTGACAATCCAGATGATACTTATGTCAGTAATCTAGTAATCTGGTGAAGGGAGAAACTGCTCAGGCTATAATTGTGGAAAAGTATATTTCGTGGGATTTAGCTGTAATTAAGGTTGTCTCTTCAGGTGATGGTAAGGTTTATGACTATCCATAAGCCTTACCATCACCTGAAGAGACAACCCTTGACCAGAGCTAAATCCCACGAATTATACTTTCCCACAACTATAGTCTGAGCAGTTTCTCCCTTCACCAGATTACTGACATAAGTACCATCTAGATTGTCAATGACATGGGCACACGCCATGATTAGTCCATCCTTACTAATACAAAACTCAAAACTCAGTTCCAGCCAAAACTTGATCACTAGAGACAGAAACTTTACTCTCCACCAGTCAGATTGTAGATAGCATTGAATTGTAAAATCCAACTCTATCCCTCAAAATTTTAGATTTGTCATCTAAGCTTCACTCCATATCCTCTCTGTCATCTGGTGTGAATGATTCAAGAATCTAAAAATAAAAGAACAAGAAAAGCTAAGATCGAGAGACAGAGTACTCGAACATGATTTCAAAATAACAAAGGGACGTTTATTTTCCATATCAATATTAGCGAAAAGACGCAATTCAACTATTTCAATCATGCGGTGAATACATTTTCGGGAAAATAGTGGTAAATTATTGATTCACTGGAGGCACAAAAGGCATCGTTTTAAAACATAGCAATTCCAATACCACTTCGATTCTCATAAAAATATCCAAGCATACATTGGACTGTGTACGCGCATAAGTTAGAAGGCGAGTCGTGCTTTCCCTTACTCTTTTTCTCCTTCAATCAACCAAGGGCTCCAAAGCCAAAGGTCATTATGAAGTAAATTATCTGAGATACGAGATGAAGAGGAGAAGAGAGATTGTGAAGTGAAAATCGAGAGTAGAGATGAGGAGACAACGATATTTCGGGGAAATTTGGAATCTATCTATATATATATAATTAGGGACAAAGCATTTAATAAAAATCGAATTCGTTTCCCGCCCAAAGTTACAATTTAGTCTTTTGTGTTTTCTTTGAAAAATCATCCGTTACTTACTACATGCTTGGTTTGGTTTTTCTTTTTATTAAAATCTTAGTAACCTTATGACTCAATTAATGTGAACCTAATCACGATAATTGATTTTATTTGTTTATGGATAGTTTTTAATTGTTTCATATTTTCCTCCCATAAATTTTTTAAAGATATATTCATTTCGTTCTTTTTTTAATTAATGTATTATGTTTATGAAAATTTCGTGCTTTAAAACATCACTTGAACACTTTTACACCAAACCTTTTAAAATTTTATATATAATAATAATAATAACAATAATAAAAAAATCTTTTTAAGATAATTAATAGGTTAGGATCCCACAAAATGACAAAAACTGCATTATCCAATTCATTTTATGCAGTAAAATGATGAAATTCAATACTTTTATAAACATTTTTACTAATGATTTTTTTTTAAATATTATATTATTAACTAACTTATAATTTTATTATTATATACATACATATAACTCATAATAATTTAAATATATGTGCATGGGCACAGGATCTAATACTAATTGGGAGTAAAAGTAAATTAGGTAGGGTTTTTAATTTCATTAACAAACATAATATATTATATATAATATATAATAATATTATTATATAAAGATATTATATATTATAATAATCTTGAGAAATACAACTGTTAACAATTTATTTTCTTTAGCCCTCTTCAATACAGAGATAAAAGCAATCACGAGCGGAACAAACTCACCTGTGGGCCACGCAATGTCCCTTGCCTTGCTCGTCCTATACCCTTCTGCCGCCAAGGCTTCTTCCGGTCCCACTAACCTCACTTATAGTTTTGGTCGAGTGGGTTCCCTGCCAAAAAATAACACAAATGTCTTAGATTAATACCAGCAAAGGCACATTGCAAATGAACAACACTCGGACATATATCATTATTAAAAACGAACAAGAAAAAGGTAAAGAAGAGACAGAAAGTGGACTTTCGAATTTCAGTTTGAATTGGAGTGAGAGGTGATGAGGGGGAAAAGAGAGAGAGTAGAGTAGAGAGAGAAAAAAAAAAGAAAAGAAAAAAAAAAAAAGGAAATGTGATGAAAATGTGGCACCTACTGACGTTTAGCAAGCTGCCATCTCACGACACGATGGATAATATCTTTCCTGATTGGCACATCAAAAACGTCACCAGCCAATACCATGAAACCTTTATTTTCATTGTGAAAATCTGTAACAGGAATCACCACGTCCTGATAGAGACCTACAACATTAAATCAACAGTGAGCCAAACAGCCCAGTACTCTACAATGACGGTACAAAAAATATGTCTGGTTAAAAATTAAAATGGGAACCACCTTCAACTTTATTTTCATTTTTAACTTTGACTTTCATAACAGAGAGTTGCTAACTGAAGAAAATATAAACGTATACATCTTAAATCAATAAGATCTACCAACCTAAAACAAATTCAACAGCATGCTACAGATTTAATGGGTTACCATCCCTCCTAACCTGGATAAGGTTATCAACAAGCACACAAGCCTTTGAAATTTAGTACTGTTTCCAACACTTCCACTGTTCCCTATTTTCCCAGACTTCCGTGTAAATTTTTTCCAATTTAAAATTTGAAACAAGGAGCATTAGATCCAATTAAGGTCCGTTATATTAATTTCCAAGACACTCACAGTTAAGACAGAATCCAGGCTAATGTAACTAACAAGTCCCACTAAACTTCTTAGCTAAAATGTCTTTGGCCCATTCACCTTGCTCAATAACATTTGCAAACTGTATTATACAACCCATGGGAACATGGTCCAAGTTAATTATCAGAAGGCAAAATATATTTACCAGTTTGTATTGCTTAAGAAAATAAGAATAAGTATGACAAAGCAACATGAAGTTCAAACTTTTACTTGGCAGTTCCATTACAGAATGGGTTACTCGTGACCAACTTGCTCAATAACATTTGCGAACAGCAGTGGGTTTCCATGGTTAGTATATAGAGGATACAAAGTCAATAGTAAAATGAACATGATAACATAGTGCCAAAGAAATCATCAAGTAATATTGATTTATTATTTTTTAAAGTGGAATACACGGTATCATTTATTCAATTAGACTGCTTGTCTTACTAGATCACAGCTTATGAGGCGTTTGAATCAAAGATGTCGTTTGTTTCTTTAAAGATGTTTTCAATTACACAAAGTTTCACTTAGGGCACAAACAAAATGAACCCAAATTCATAGGACGGAGAAAGTCCTAAATCAAATTATTTTAAGATGTTAAATCTTAAGGACTGTAGTTATGCTGGGGGTCACCCTCATTTTCTTAATTTTCTTTAACTTTCTGAATTTTGCAACACGGAGCTGCTAGCTGAAAAGAAAATATTCAGTAGACAAAGAGTATCAAAACCAATACAGGTTCATCAAATTAATTTCCAAGACACTCACAGTAAGTCAGAATCTAGGCCAATGTAACTAACAAGTCCCACTAAAATACTTAGCTAAAAAATCTGAAAGGTCGCAGGACTTGAAGAAAATTTTATTATGAACAAACGCACATGCATGATGCAACAGTATAATTCGTGAATGAACGCTGATAGACAGAGTCCAAGTTATGTATCAGAAGGAAAAATATACTTCTGATTTTGTATTGATTAAGTAAAAAGAACAACAACAACAACAACAACATACCCAGTATATTCCCAACAGGTTGGGGTCTGGGAGGTCAGTTGTACGTAGACCTTACCCTTGTAATTATACAAGGAGGATGTTTCCGTAGCGACCCAAGGTGCGTTGCGCCGTTTAATATATATTTTTTTTTTTCTAGAAACTTCACTAATAGAAGAAGCACTAGAATTTAATTGAGCCATTTTGATCTAGTTCATTATTAGCACTATGCCACGAGAATTGTCAACAATGACTCTTCCAGCTCCATTTGCAATGGACAAAAGATTAAGTAAAAAAAACAAGTATGACAAAATAACAAGCAGTTCAACTCAACTTGGCAGTTAGATTACAGAATGTGTTACTGGTGACAACCTTGCTCAATAACATTTGTCACAAGCAGTAGGTCCCATGGTTAGTATAATCTATATATCTATAATAAGAATTACTATTTACTAAATATAGTAACTAAAAATTTTGAGACAACATTTATTGCATACTATATTAGGATTTTTCTTTTTTATATACAGAAAAAGAAGGAGCATTTAAATCAACAGACGGAGCATTTAAAACATCCTAAAATTTTGCATATACAATTCTAATCAACATGTAATTAGTTCCTAAAATGGTGGATAAACAATACGGTAATTTAGGATTTTTTTAACACGATATCGAGTTGCGGATTTCGTCACGTTATTACGATATAATTAGTTCCTAAAATAAATGCTATACAATATTAATTGAGGATTTTTTTTCAACATGATATCGGATTGCATCACGTTGATAAGATTTTTTTTTTTTTTTTAACATGATATCAGATTGCATCATGTTGGTATATATATTATGTACGATATTTGAAGGGATTAGGAATTTGAAATCAATTCAAATTCCTTTCTTTTCACAAGTTAAAAATTTAAATCTATTTTATTTGAAATTTCAAATGTGTGGATTTATAAAACGATAGATTATTGCTTTATCTTCAATATTAATTTAGGAATTTATTTTTTAACATATTTAATATCTATACCTATATAAATATATAAAATAAGAATAACCATTTACTAAAAATAGTAGCAAAAAATTTGGGATCATTTAATGCATACCTTTTTTTGGAAACTTTTTAAATATATTAAATATATACATTAATTACTTCTATATACACTTTTTTCAAATAACACAAATCAGATATGATCAAAAATTTTGTTTCCTTAAATAATTTTATTAATATCTGCAATAATTTCATTGATATTTATAATAATAATTTTATGTTCTAACCATAATATTAATTTTATTTTTTACAAATATTAACATTTTCTATTCAAAAAATATTTATAAAAAATTGCAACGGGTTTATTCTTCAAATTAATATAATTTAACATTTAAGAGATTAAATAATTTTACCAATGGTAAAAAATTAAAATTAAAATATATTAAATGTTCTTTAGAATTTATTTCTATATTATTGGTAACCATGATTATATTCTTTACTATTTTTTTATTTTAATTTCTTTCTATAATGAAATTATTGTGAAATATATTTTCATTGATCAGTATGCTAAATAAAACTATAAATCCTTATAATGCAAATTTGAAAAATCTAGATTATAGAAGAGATTGAGTTTTTGACATTTCGTAAATCAAAGTTGTTTAATTAGTATACAAAGTTAAATTCGAAAAAAAAAACATGTGTGTATATTTTGTAAAGTATTTATACACTATTAATTTTAAATCCATTTACATATTTTACATTGATTACTTAAATAAATAATACTAATGTGCATTAAATATAAATTTTTATATATAAATTGATTACATATTTTGAAATGAATGGTGTGGAGAAAGGGAATAAAAATATTTTGTCTCCAATGGTTAATGTCAATTGTGGAATAATTTGACACATGTAAGATAATAATTGGTTAGCGAAGAAAAAAATGTTTACACATGTTCTATTTTATATTATATCATTTATTTTATATATTTTTCTACATATAGAAAGACTTCTATATTTTTTAAATGCCACATTGGATTTTTGGAGCTAGGTGGCAATGAAATAGAACAATCCATTTACAATTGGAGATGCTCTAAAACTGTTATTTTCTCCTGTTATTTTCTCTTATATCAATGAATAAATATATATACTAAAATCAAATTTATATTACTACAAATGTGTTAGTAAGATAATATATTAATTATTTTACAAGTTCTTCCTGACATGTTCATATTTAATATTCTGCTTAAAAAAACGTTGATTAAAAGAGGTGGAAATGTATTACAATCCTATTGTTTAAAAGAGGTGGAATATAGATTATAATCTTATTGTTTTTTACATTTAACGCTGATTAAAGATGTGGAAAATAAATGATAACCCTTTTTAGACTTAAACGGATCGAGCATGTGAAAATAACTCATTTAATACATTCATCCCGTGCATCGCACGGGGTACGTACTAGTGAGGATACAAAGTCAAAGGAAGATGAACAAGAAAATATAGTCCCAAAGACATCATTAAGTGCTATTGATTTATTATTTTCTTAAGACGGAATACACATTTATCATTTACTCAATTAGACTGTATGTCTCAATTGAACACAGATTTTGGGGCATTGGAATCAAAGACGCCGGTTGTACCTTCTTAGATGTTTTCAATTCCACAAAATTTCACTTAGGAGTAAGACGCATACAAAACGGACCCAAATTTATAGAACAGAGAAAGTTTAGAATCAAATTATTTATAACAGAATACTATAAAAGGTCAAATCTTCAGCACTGTACCCATTTCCCTGTCAGGAGCCAGCACATGCTTGGACGACAACAAATTGGCGGAAATGTGCCTTCACTTGAATTGTGGGTCAATACAGAAGAGGAATACCTTTGGTAAAAACTAAATGTTGCCTGATCCACATAACAAATTAGTTCGGATTCAATATTGAAAAAGGAAAACCAGAGAGAAGACAACCCAAAAAAAAATTACCTTTTTTAAAAAAATAATCATGCAATTTCAAATAATTATCACAAATAAGTATATGATTCCGCATTTGAATCTACCTTTTCTAATCCTGGAGAACACACCGAATTGGAGTTATCCTCATAAGCACAACCACGGAGTCCTGCTTCAAATTTAGAACAAAGTCGGAAATATCACAAAGTTCTTTTTATCCACAAAATTCAGAAAGATGGCACCCTATGATTACATAACAAATTTGGCCCTTTACTAAAATCAACAAGCTCACAGAAACTAGCAACCCCAAAAAGCAGAAGGAAATGGAAACTGGAAACATACCCATCAAACAACGCGACTTTCCAGACAAAGGAAATTGAGAAAATGCCCTACCTTTGGATAGAGAAAATGGTGTAGAGGATTTATTACAGGAACCAATGGCACGCAGTAACCTTCTTAAAAACAACGAGGCCATCGGATATGCTTCAGCCAATCAGAGAGTGTCAAAAATTATACTCCAGCTAAAATCAATGCAAGTTCACATCCTTAATTTCCTCATTCATCAAGATTCAGCTTCACGAAAAAATCAAAAGTGTCAAAGAAAAAAGGTCAGATCAGATAGGTAGCATAGAGATGTTTAACGGGCTAGCCCTAGCGGCCTTCGGGCTTCCGGCTAAACGGTCCGGGCCTAAAAAGCCCGGATTTAAATGGACTACCAATAAAAGGATCTAACCCTAAACTTAGCGGGCTTCGGGGTAAACAGGCTATACTAATAATAATAATAATAATAATAATAATAAATTACTAACACCTAGTTAATGATTTTTTTCAACGGCTATATAGTATTTACCACTATATATATACAACTACACTTCATATATGAACACACATTACAGACTTTTAAATAACATATTGTTTCTCAATAGAAAAAAAAAATGTTCGAACTATTACTTGTAACTATCATTTGACTAGTTATTTGGTAAGATTCGGGAATTTTCAAATATGCATACTGCTGAATTTATATTCTATCACTATATTCTATGTTTTAGGTCTTTGTCTTATTTGTTTTTTATTAGCCGTTCTGATTGGCTTAAATATTTTGCTGTGAAATAGAATAATATTTGTTAATAATTATCTATCAAAATAATAGTAATACATTATAACTCATAATTACATGTGAAGTAGAATAGCAAAATTGCAATATACAAGGAATCAATGGACATATTACTTACCTTTCTAAAAACAATATACACCACCCAACCCAAGTTAAACGGGCTAGCCCTAGTGGTTTTCGGGCTAGCCCTAGCGGACTTCGGAATAAACGGTTCGGGCCTAAAAAGCCCGGATTTAAACGAGCTGCCAATAAAAGGCCCTAACCCTGTTTTTTTCCGGGCTAAACGGGTCGGCCCGTCGGGCCAAGGACCATTTAACATCTCTAGGTAGCAGATAAATCATCTATATATATAATTGGCTAATCTATAAATAAAACATTTAATAAAACTTCTCTTCTTTTTCTCGCCAAAAAACTTCTCTTTTTTTCAATCAATGTGGAACTGTTACATTATACATTAATGAAGTGTAATAATAATTTAAACTAATTTATTATGGAATAATTACTACTAATACTAGCTAATTATAAAAAAATTGTATTGCAATTTTTTTATTAAGATAATTATTTTATAATAAATATTATTTTTTGTCTTATTAAGTGGTTTTTCTCTAATATTAGTTAATTGATATGAGTTTTTTAATTAAACTCCTTAAAATTACATAAGTAATTACTATAACAACACTAAAATTAGTTGTAATACTTTTCTAACTAATTACCGTATGGTCCCTCTAAATTACAAAATTACACTATTCATTAAAATTTATGTCATCAATATAAAGATTCACATGCAAGTTAAATAATTTATATTTATATTGTACATTTGTGTATAGTCAAAATTTTAAAATGTAATATATCCATTATCTAATTTAAAATTTTAAATATTGTATATATAAATATAATATATAAATTTTTATTTATCTCTGTGCATGTGCACAGAGATGAATACTAGTTTGAATGAATGCCGCAAGTCATTCAGAGAGACAAATAAGGGAATATGGGTAGAAACGCAGAGAGCGGAAGGGGCAAATAAGGATGGCCAACGGATCAGGTCAGGCCGGATAATTAGGGACTACCGACAACAAATAAACAATTACGAACATATAGATAGAACCTACACATGTATAACTATCAGTTCTAAAAATAAAACCACATTATTCATAAGTCTCAAAACCATTCAAACATAATCTGATGTTCAAAGCGGAAGCATAAATAAATAAAAATAAAACAAGTAGTTCAACATGATGCCAATGGTCCAATCAACATGTTCGAAGTAATTTAAATTGGAAGCATAACAATCCAAAGTAAATCAAGCAATCCAACATAGATAATAAAAGCGGAAGCAAAGAACACATCAATCCAAATACCACCACTCGATCGTCTCTCGCTGCCGCCGCCAACCATGCTCAGCCTAAAAATAGAAAGAGGGACAAGAGAACAGAAAAACAATGGGGGTGAGTATAACCATCATACTCATCATTACTGCACAGTATATCTCGCATAAAGATTCATAACTATAAATAATGTATGCATAGAATCCAGATCTAACTCCCTATTAGGCCCTATCGCAAACCTCCTATGTACATACAACAAACCTCCCAACCAAACATCGGCAAGGAAGTAACCGAAAACATTCTCATCCTGGATGCAACAGGCATAGGATCCTTTCCAGGAGACAGTAGAGCTGTTTTTCCCCTTCCGGATACAACGGCATGGGGCGTCCCTCCCGGATGCAACGGGCAGGCGACCTCTCACTGATTATGCATTCGTCAAAGGCACTATCGATGGGACACTTAGACTAGGGTTTTCACGCATACAGAAGCTATCGAGACAAACATTTATACGAAATAACAAGTGCGATAAATATAGATTCAACATAAATGAACCCACTTGATAGCAGCGATAAAATTCACAATATACGACTCGAACGGTAGGGTTTGTGGTCAACACCTCGGAACACCTACATGAAATCAAGATAACTCTCGATTACTACTAGTCCAACGAACACACAAACTTAGTCGAATCCGTCGACTAAGTGGCTCGTGGAAGGTTCTCGTGGAATTATGGAACAGTTGACTCGACTCGAACCAAATATGGAAAAATACACATAATGGACGACTCACCAAAAACTCAGCCACCTTAACTTAATATTTACACCATTTATATAAAATGAAAAGAGGACTTCATATATTAAATATCATGTTCAAATTCAAGAGTTAACATGTTCAACAAATAAATCGAGCAAATTGACAATTAATCCTCATTTTCTAGATGACCAGGTAAATGAACGAATTTTGATTTGAAATTTGAACACATAATAAACATTGCTGAGAACATAAAAATGACCAAGTTTCAGCCTTACCACTTAAGCATGCGATTTTATAAAATTAATACAAATTTTCAGCAAAAACAAGTATGAATTTAAATGACTAAGCAAATGAATGAATTTGGATATAATATTTTTATGCAAGTAACTACAGAATGCTGGTAATGGTATATAAAAATTTCAGGCAAAAAAAATAATCATGTGAATTATGACAATCATTTCAAATTTAAGCAAAGTACATGTTTTTAACAAAAACTTACGAAAATGAATCCAATAATTTCTGGGATTTTCACACCATCAAAATCATGTCAAGTAAGCATACTGACCGAGTTTCATGAATTTACATCAAGAATTCGATTTTTCATGGATTTAACAAAATTCAGCATATTTGGACAATTAATTATTTACTCCAGAAAATGACTTCCAAAATCTATGAAAATTGTACACAAGGTACAAAAACAACTGGGGAGCAACATATCCAAATTACAAGATTTTTGGGCAACGATACAATTTTTCACGTATTTAACAAGTTGCAGCAATTACATCAACTTCAAAAATTCATAACTTGAAAAATATAACTCCAAACTGTACAAAGTCAAGACCATTGTGATTAGGACACAAAGATGTTCCATATTACAAAACATTTCCACGAGATAGTCTCAGATCATAAGGTTTTCGAATTTAATCTTATAGATCTACAATACTACACGACATAAAATATCAATATATATAATAAACATTCAAATTAATCATGTTATTATATACTACCAGCCATACAACATATAATCTCATGGTGTTCATGGAGTTTAATAAAAATTACCAAACACCAATGGGGAGAAAAACGAACGAGGCTCGATCTACGGGAAGGCTCGTTGACGTTCGTTTCCTAAGGGCGGGGAAATCATCCGCTAAGCGTGCTCGGCGTTGAAGGCGGCTTGGGCAAGTTTTTCCCGGCGAAAATCGAGAGAATGGAGAGTGGAGAGAAGAGACTGTGAGGGAGAATTCTGAATTTTTGGAAGTGAGGGAGTGAGAGAGAGATATTCATGTGAGAGAGAGAGAGAGGGAGAGAATGAGGGTGAGTGAATGGGGTTTTTCCCTTATTTAAAAGTCTTGTAACCTCCCCATAATAATAGGTCAAGGCTCATGAAGTGGGATAAGGGCTGATTTTATGGGATAAGGGGGTTACAATTTGAATTCAAAAATTCAACTTAAGATGGCCATGCATGCAAGAATGGCTCGGCCGGCGAAATTCAAGCGGACGTGAGTCGGGCGGGTGCGCGAGGGTGCGGTTCGGTGGCTCGGACCGATGGTTCGGTATGGTCGCTCGCTCGGTTCGAAGTCCCGATTAATAACGATTATTCTGTTCGGTCGAAAATTAAAATACTAACAAAATTCGGCTCGATATTTAATTTAATACAATTTAACAATGTAAGAGCACATAATCGAATATAATAATCGAGCACGAATTAAATAATCTGGAAATTAAAAATAAATAATAATAATATTCTCAAAATAATCCGGAACAAATGGGGCGCTACATATAAGCTATCCGATCGTTTATTTGATTAGCTTATAAGCTTCTTCTACTTAAATAAAAGACGAACTTTTATAAGAAACTCGAGCTTATCTCATAAGCTTCTTTCATTAGCTTTTCAATAAGCTCATTGAAATTTTACTCAGTTATAAGCTCAAAATTCACTTAAAGTTTATAAGCTAGCTTATCAGCTAGTTTTACTAAATATAAGTTAAAAAATAATTCTTTTATCTTTGGAGTCCTGCCTAAAATTAACAACACAACCCAGCTCATTTGAATCAACTCTGTTAACAAACAACAAATAACACATATGCTTGGCCCGTGGAGTAAAAAATCGACAGTATAAAAACCCACAAACATATAAATCAGGC